CCTGTTTTGGGCTCCACCTCGCACCCGGACCCCGGATCGTGTTGGGAGTCCGCTTGGTTACCTCTGGTGACGGGGAGCTCACTCCTCCTCGGAAAGCTCATTCTGGGTCCATAGCTGGAAACGGAGGCAGCAGAAGAGCCGGGTCTTCCGTTTATAGGCGCCACCTCGCACCCAGACCCCGGATCAAGCGAGAAATCCTCTTGGTTACCTCCGGCGACGGGGAGCTCACTCCTCCTCAGAAATCTTGTTCGAGCCCCAAAGCTGGAAACGGAGGCAGCAGGAGAGCCGGATCTTCCGTTTATAGGCACCACCTCGCACCCGGACCCCGGATCGTGTTGGGAGTCCGCTTGGTTACCTCCGGCGACAGGGAGCTCACTCCTCCTCGGAAAGCTTGTTTGAGCCCCAAAGCTGGAAATGGAGGCAGCAGGAGAGCCAGGTCTTCTGTTTATAGGCGTCACCTCGCACCCAGACCCCGGATCATTCTGGAAATGCGCTTGGTTACCTCCGGCGACGGGGAGCTCACTCCTCCTCAGAAATCTTGTTCGAGCCCCAAAGCTGGAAACGGAGGCAGCAGGAGAGCCGGGACTTCCTGTTTTCGGCGCCACCTTGCACCTGGACCCCGGATCGTGCTGGAAATCTACTTGGTTACCTCTGGCGACGGGGAGCTCACTCCTCCTCGGAAAGCTCGTTTGAGCCCCAAAGCTGGAAACAGAGGCAGCAGGACAGCCGGGTCTTCCATTATTGGGCTCCACCTCGTACCCGGCCCCCGGACGGTGTTGGGAATCTGCTTGGTTACCTCCGACGACGGGGAGCTCTCTCCTCCTCGGAAAGCTCGTTCTGGGTCCATAGCTGGAAACGGAGGCAGCAGAAGAGCCGGGACTTCCTGTTGTGGGCTCCACCTCGCACCCAGAGTCCTGATCGTGTTGGGAATCCGCTTGGTTACCTCCGGTGACGGGGAGCTCACTCCTCCCCGGAAAGCTCGTTCGAGTCCCAAAGTTGGAAACGGAGGCAGCAGGAGAGCCGGGTCTTCCGTTTATAGGCGTCACCTCGCACCCGGACCCCGGATCGTGTTAGAAATCCGCTTGGTTACCTCTGGCGACGGGGAGCCCACTCCTCCTCGGAAAGCTCATTCTGGGCCCATAGCTGGAAATAGAGGCGGCAGGAGAGCCGGGTCTTCCCGTTTTGGGCTCCACCTCGCACCCGGACCCCGGATCATGCCGGAAATGCGCTTGGTTACTTTCGGCGACGGGGAGCTCACTTCTCCTCAGAAAGCTCGTTCGAGCCCCAAAGCTGGAAACGGAGGCAGCAAGAGAGCCGGGTCTTCCGTTTATAGGCGTCACCTCGCACCCAGACCCCGGATCGTGTTGGGAGTCCGCTTGGTTACCTCCAGCGACGGGGAGCTCACTCCTCCTCGGAAAGCTTGTTTGAGCCCCAAAGCTGGAAATGGAGGCAGCAGGAGAGCCGGGTCTTCCGTTTATAGGCGCCACCTCGCACCCGGACCCCGGATCGTGTTGGGAGTCCGCTTGGTTACCTCCGGCGACGGGGAGCTCACTCCTCCCCGGAAAGCTCGTTCAAGCCCCAAAGCTGGAAATGGAGGCAGCAGGGGAGCCGGGACTTCCTGTTTTGGGCTCCACCTCGCACTCGGACCCCGGATTGTGCTGGGAGTCCGCTTGGTTACCTCCGGCGACGGGGAGCTCACTCCTCTTCGGAAAGCTTGTTTGAGCCCCAAAGCTGGAAATGGAGGCAGCAGGAGAGCCAGGTCTTCCGTTTATAGGCGCCACCTCGCACCCGGACCCCGGATCGTGTTGGGAGTCCACTTGGTTACCTCCAGCGACGGGGAGCTCACTCCTTGGAAAGCTCGTTTGAGCCCCATGGCTGGAAACGGAGGCGGCAGGGGAGCCGGGTCTTCCTGTTTTTGGTGACACCTCGCACCCGGACCCCAGATCGTGCTGGAAATCCGCTTGGTTACCTCCGGAGACGGGGAGCTCACTCCTTCCTGGAAAGCTCGGAGACCCAGCTGAGCAGCGGCGTCCGGGCCAAGGAGCCGGCCTCACAGCATCCGGGTCCGGCCGGGGCCTGGCGCTGGGCGGGGGTGGCTGCCCGGGGCCGGTGGGTCGCGGCTGAGGACGAGGCCCGCGGCCTCCCCGGCCTCCTCCTGCAGCGAGGCG